GCTTCGTTTATAGAATAAATATTTATTTTAGAAAACGTCTAAATTTTAATTTTCTTAGTGATCTTTTTATCATGCTAGATTTTACCACACTTTACTCGCACAAGTGAAATCAATAAGATTATAACACAGACTGGATTATAAAGTTATGTTCACCAAGGAGAGCGCTGGCCCTTTCCCCCTCTTAACAAAAAAAATAACAAAAATTTTGTTACCATTGCAAAACAATAGTAAATATTAAAAAAGTCTTTATAGCAATAAAATATTTTTGTTATTGTTCTTAACGTAAGCTATTAACAAGGATTTTCTAACTGAAATAAAATTAATTTGAATTACAACGATAGTAATTTAAAAAGGACAAATATGCCATAGTAAAATGAACAAATTTTACTATAACAACTGCGCATTACTTTATGTAAGCGCAATTCACACACAACCATAGATTTAACAAAAACATTTTAAGTTTGACAAAGATTTAATATAAACATAAAGTATTTCTTATTGCCATGACAATATGATAACAACTATTACTTTGTTGGATTAACATTTTTTTTATAAAAGCTCAACATTGCTGCTTCATTATACTGCCGTGTTAAGCTTAAAGGTCGTATCTGCAATATTTTGTAGTAAAGGACAAAAGAAAATTTTAATTTTAAAAAACTATTAAAAATGGCCTTTTTGCTTAACTACTAAATATTGCAGATATGAAGTTTTGTCTTCGAACGGCAGTTTGTGGTAGTAAAGAAAAAAGTTTATTCTTCATTGTTTTTAAAAATTAAAATTTTCTTCTGTCCTTTACTACAAAATATTGCAGATACGACCTTTAAGCTTAACACGGCAGTATAGTAAATGAGAATTTTATTAACAGTAAAATAAGTTTATTCTGTAAGTAAAAATAATCTCAGTATAATGTATACTTTGACCAATCGTAGGTTTTTGTCCCAATAAGACACTGAAAATTTAATAAAAAAGTTACCTTAGGTGGTACATTTTTTAATAGCCATTACAATTTAAAATTTTTTAATATTTTATTAATCGCTTACAAAATTAGTTTCATTATCAGTGCATGTATAGTAGTATTAAATAGATGAATTGTAGTGCAAACATGCATAAACCCAAAGCAAAACTATAAAACCTCAATTTTAAACATTTTTTCCTTATAAATGGTATTAATAAACCGATGGTTTCTTTAACCACAAACATGGTTTCGCCGATTAAAACTCGGTGCTTAATTTTTCCGAATCGTTTTCGATTTTTACGCTCGAAAAACTTTTTAATCGTCATCGCCAAACTTTTCACTAACAATAAGACGACTGTTTTCTCATATAATATACAAATAGAAAGCTTATTAAAATAAGCCGCTTATAAGAAATGTACCCTTTTGACGGATTACAATGTTAAGATCTGCGTAAGTACCTCCTTGTTTGATGTAGAAAAAATACTTTGCGTGGACACAATGGCCTCGAAATAATTCGATAGATACTGGGTGTTCGTGCGTGAAGTGTACAATATTTTTCCAGTGAATTATGAATGTATGAGAACGGTTTTATTTTTCAATCTCGAAGCACCGGAAGAAGTAATTTTTGATACGAAATCGATTACGGTTTACGGTAATAAAAATTATCTCGTATAAAATAAAATGTAGGTTTATAATCTGTTTGATTTGAAACAATCGAGTTGAAATGCAAGGAATATTAATTATTCGAAAAATTATATTGCAATGGGCTCTTGATTTCTCGAAAGCCATTACTCATGGGAAAAATAAATATTAATAAAATGCCATGGATGTTTTTAGTATTGCAAGTTGATGAAGCAGGTGTGTTACATAAAATTTAAAGGAAATACCCAAGAAAAAATATATATTCTTTTAAATAATTATTTCTTAGGGATTTAGGATGATAAAATTATATAAAAGATTCTTTTTTGATGTTTCTTCAGATCTTAACCTATTGTAAGAATTTAAATCCAAATTTAAAAATCAAATAACACTATTAGTTTGTAACATATATTGGGTATCATCAGTGTCGACACGACACTGTCGAGCAACTTGTAGTAGTGGAACACACCCAAAACAAAGAAATACCTGAGATTATATAACATGGTTGGTAAGCCAACAGAGGCGAGATGTAAGAACATCACGTGATCCACACCGTCTAACGACGCGTCGCGACGTGGCCTTTGCCGCAATCGGTACAAACTATGCAACCAAGTAGGTTCAATTCTTTCTTATAAGTATTACCAGTAATGGGTCAAGAAAGTTTATTGAAGAAACTAAGAAAATTGAATGTTTAAAATGTCATGAGTTAGTATATTGTATATTATATTTAAATATATTGTTTATTTACCTTAAACATAAAAGTATCTTTATTTTTACTATATTTTTTATTAATGTGTAATATATTATAATATTAGATGTACACCTTACATTTGATTAAATCATATAGTAAATATTACTATTTGTAGATAGTAAAATCAATTTACTATACGAACATATTAAAAACTAAAATACATATTATATATACATTTATGATTTAGTAATATATTGGTGTTGTAATCTTTAATAAAATTGTATAATAAAAAATAGTAGGTATTTTGTATTACAATCTTAATATTGTATTGACAAATATATAATATTTTTACCCTAAAAATTTGTTAAAGTAAATTTTACTACATATTTTTTAGTATCTAAAATTTACTAAACATTTCTCTCCGTGTAGGTATATTTAAAGTAAATATTTTCATTCTAAACTAAATTTTATAACCGTAAAATAATCTTATTTGTTTTGGAACAGACATGAAGTACTTTTAACGTTATTTTTACGTAAATATAATTATAACAAAATGGTAAAATCTATTTTAATATTATCTTATAATCATACAAAAATCTGGATAAATAAATAATCATACATATGAATGGCCCCGTATATAAATACGAAGACGATTTGTTGAATCGAGTTCATGGTATAATTTAGTTGTTTCAATGTAGAAATAAAAATTTCTATTATAGTCAAACACCAATTTATTTTTTGTATCGTGCTGTTGCAACAAAAAATCTCTCAGAATCCATGAATGAACCGAGATCGAGAACAGGCCCGTACTCATGCAAATTAATTATCCAATAAAAACCTTGAAAGTAACAAATATTATGATTTTTTTAAAATTTTGTTGTCCAAGGTGGTTCAATTTTTTTTCTGTTAATTTAACAATAAATTTGTAAAATTGGTTAAAGAATGGCAAAATTTAATATATATATTATATATATTATAGGTATACCTATATTTTCTTTGAAGTTAAATAAAGTACCAATTATTAATTTTGTAACAATAACACTAGTTTACAAAATCGAAAAAAAATTCTGCCCACTATATCCCATTATAATTTTTCCATGTATTATGACCCACTAAACACAAAAATCACAGTGAATTTTTTTATGGAAGCGTTTTTAAAATATGAATTTTCAATTGTTTATTTTTTAATTTTCGGAGGTGTTTTGACGTTTTTTAGTGGAGCTTGAAATCCAATTGATCAATTTGGTGAAACAAGCCCTTAAATTGAAGGTATTTGAGCCCTCTATAACAGATAATTCCAGTTTGAATTTTTTTCGTGAAGCTGACATTTTTACCAAAAAAAACAATGTTGATAAAAATACATGGACAAATGGCGAAGTTATGATTTTTTTAGTGGAAGACCAAAATTCAGCCTTTTGACGATTTTTATTTTATTTTGTTCTTTTATTTTGTAATATGTTTATTCTTTTATGAAAACCGTACTTTTTTCACCGAAAACATTATTCAAAATTTAAATTTGACATGACCCCGCAAACGTGATTTCTTTTGTTTCTCGTGTTGGCATAGTAACATTTTACTGCTATTTTTTGACATTTCAACAAGGTATTTTTATCATTGTTTATTAAGTTAATAAAAAGTGTAAAATGAGTAAAAGATGTAGAGTTCAAGTGCGTAAATAACCTGGACAATCTGGGTGACGTAAGTGATGATCACGGAGAACGTTTTCACCAGCAATTGTAGGCTATGGAGCGGCGGTATCACGGCTTCTGGGATGCAGCCATGAAGGGTGATTACATTTGGTCCCTCATACGAGAAACGGAATACGAAAGCAACAAAAAACAAAGAAGGAGCCAGAATATTTTTAAACCTATGCTTATTAAAACAAAATAAAACTTTCAATATCTTCAATGCTCAATATTCAATACATAATTTAATTTCAATATTTAATGTTTAAAATAAAAATTAATGTTCAATATTAAATTTTATATAATTCAATAAAATGAAGAAAAAACGTAAAAAATCTCGAAAAACTGAATTTTGCTCTTCCACTGAATAATTCATAACTTCGCCATTTATCCATAGATTTTTATCAACATCAGCTTATTTTTGTAAAAAGAAGGACTTTTTCAACTTCATAAAACGGTCAAATCGATCAATTAGAACTCGAAACGTCAAAACACCTCAGAAAATTAAAAAAAAAAATTGAAAATTCATATTTCGAAAACGCTTCCATGAAAAAAATGTTAAGTACACAAGAAAATCATAGTGAGACATGGTGGGCAAAATGGCTGTAAACTAGTGTAATTTTTGTTAAACTAAAAAATTCGGCCAACTTGTAAAGTTATCTGGTACGTTCCTGCAAAGAAACGTTCAAATTCAATATTCAACAGGTTGATATTGTACAATTTACGTCTCATTAGATTCCGAGACGATCAAAGTAGCTCCCCGTTACGAGAAACAATCTGGCAGAACCTATAATTACGTGTAACGTGCTAAGCTAGAAAGAACTGCTACCAGAATCTCGCTATCCACGGTTCTCTGACTCGATTTTTTTTAACTCGTCTGTCAATCTTTTTTTACCTTTTCGAACGTGTGAATTTTGCTGCGGCTTTCATTATCGGCCCAAATAGTACGATTTATTTTTAGGTGTCATTGATTTCAGCGGCGACTTTACAAGTTGCTGTTAAATGATTTCGAATAAAAATCATGTCTTACCTTGAGATTCTTGCTTATAAGAACTCTGAGAACCATCACTACTCTGCGAAGAAGTGATCCCTCGACTTTTCATAGCCTCTAAGTTACTAATGTGTCCAAAAGTTGGGTCTAATGGCCGGGGCCCTAAAGCCGGGAACACCCTGTAGCCTTGCGGCGTGTGCGGTCCGTCTATGAAACAAACAAAAAAAAAGAAAAAAAAATAAATATGAAAAGTTACTGCTTTTATATTTATGCACCCCATCTACCTATTTTTACATTTTTAACTTTTATTATTATTATATTTCTAAATATTTTAGAAAATGGTTTATAAACGCTTTTAAAACTTTAAATCGATATCTTTTTCCGCTACCCAGAAACTTCTAATGGACCAGGAATGTGAAACACCCTGTATATGTCGATTTTTAGGTGCATTAGTCGCTGACACAGGTCGCTGATTATTTTTTTGGTAATAAATTTAAAAAAATCTTTGTTATACAGGGTGAGTTTTAAAATAACTCCTTTTTTAACGGCTTGTAGAAATCAAATGGACAAACGAATATTTTAAGTAAGCTACAGTTCATTTTTTTTATTATTTATTATTAGGTTTTTGGCTTATGCCAGTTTGACTTAGTATTTTTAGTATTTAAAAATGGTACTTCTGCTAAAGAATTTAATTAAATACTTTGGCACTGTCAGATTGACAATAATATTTATTATTGATAATTTACTTGTCAATTATAATTATAAATAAAAAGATAATTATGCCAAAAATAATAGCAACGAATTCGAATGTAAAAGCCCTTTTGAGGGCAAAACTTTATTTTGATGAAATTATGCTAAATGCCACAATGGAAAAAAAGTAAATCGCCTTATGGACATTTTTGGAGTAAAAAAGTAACTATAGTAATTATAATTTGGTTTTATAAATATTACATCACACATTATTTTCTCATTATTCACCTTTGGACAACATTTACGTTCACTAAAACTTTTAATTTCTTTTATATTAATTTTCCGCTAGGAATACTTTCTCTTCTGGGCCGTAAAGCAACCTATATTTAACTACTTTTTTATATGATTTTACTCATCCAAGCTCCACCAAAGCCAAATTAATTGCATTTTTAACTACGAATTTCGACAACTCAACTTGACAACTGCACAATGTAACCTACAATATAACCACAATTTGATTTATAACTAGCTTAGTTTGTTTTAATCAATGCGACCAACTTGATAACTGTATGTACCAACCAAAACCCTAAATTTGCAACGTTGCCGCAGTCCAGATAAAAAAAAATGAACTTTAAATATACATAATAAAATAATGGGCACGGTCGGTTTTAATAATAAAATACAATGGTGGTTTTTTGTGCATTTTGTTGTAGGTTATAGTGATAAAGAAGAGACTGGAATAGCCTTTGACAGGTAAAAATCTATACTGGGTGTAAAGAAAATGACGAATATACTTTTCAGTACGTTGTAGGGAACACTCAGTAGAGTAGGTACGGAAAAAATAATAAAAAAAATCTGGTCTTCAATTTGGTGAGATAAAACATGTTTAAGTTGAGATTTCACTTTTTTTTTACAGAATTTGCAAAATGATGATTTTATACTCTAAAAAAGAATTTGTCAAAAATGACTAATGACTAATTTAATAGTTATTAGTGGCTGCTTTTTCACTTGTACCATGGTTAACTATGGAATACCATGGTATCCCAAATTTTTTTTATGTAAAATTGCCCCTGAATCCGAAAATTGGGATTAGGCAACTATTTCTTTACTAGAAAGTAGTGATTACAAAACAACTAATTGATAAAAATACAAAAAGGTTATAAATTACTGAAAAAATACTAGAAAATTATGGTAGACAAAAACAACAACAAAAACAAAGAGTAGGTATGAATAATTAGATTTAATAGAAAAATAATATTTGAGTTACTTTTAATAGTGTTTGTTATCACTTCCAAACTTTTAGTATTGAATACCACTCTCTAAAAATGAATTAGTCAAAAATGACTAATTCAGTAATAAAGTTATTAGTGGCTGCTTTTTCACTTGTACCATGGTTAACCATGGAATACCATGGTATCCCAATTCTTATGTAAAATTGTCCCCTGAATCCGAAAATGTCGTCAAAAGTTAAAAAAAGTAGAACAGTTTTTGAGATATAGTCAATTTTCCATTTAATATGGAATATGAGATAAAAAACTGCTCCACTTTTTTGACGGTATTTTCGGATTCAGGGGACAATTTTACATAAGAATTGGCTGTTAAATTTTGGGATACCATGATATTCCATGGTTAACCATGGTACAAGTGAAAAAGCAGCCACTAATAACTATTAAATTAGTCATTTTTAATAATAATAATAATAATAATAATAATCTTTATTGCACAAAAATATAAATAAAAACAATATTTTATACACTAATTTTGACTAATTTATTTTTAGAGAGTGGTTAAACTATAAAAAAATCCTCTGTATAGTAATTTTTAACGTTTTTATTTTCTCTTTACCATGAAAAATATTTATTCGGCAAATTTGGAGTTGTGTTTTACGAGTAATGCTGTTAATAATTGTTTTGTAATAGTGAGGGTTTACATTTTGGAATCAGTGGCAAATCTATAAAACATCAATTGGCTCAATTAGCAGTCGCATGTATTATTAACGGCTTTCAGAGTAAATCAACTGTTTTTGGCCGGCTGTTTATTTACCTATACTCGTACACAACGTGGAATGCACAATGCATTTGCGTTGCGTGTGTGTACGCTACCAGCGTATTTTGCGTTAATTGTGCAACAATTTTTTTTATTATATTGATTTAATTCTCTTCCATGAATTTATAATTTTATGGGTTTGTCAATGTTTTTGCACAATAAAAATATATTTGTTAATTTTAACCAAATATTAACGAGATTTTATGCTGATCCAACATTATGTTGAGCTTTTAAAAAAAAATTGTTGAACTTAAAATGTTTTTGTTAAATCCATAGTTGTGTGTGAATTGCGCTTACATAAAGTAATGCCTAGTTGTTATAGTAAAATTTGTTCATTTTACTACGCCATATTTGTCTTTTTTAAATTATTATCGTTGTAATTCAAATTAATTTTATTTCAGTTAGAAAATCTTTGTTAATAGCTTAATAACAAAAATATTTTATTGACATAAAAAGACTTTTTTAATATTTACTATTGTTTTGCAATGGTAACAAAATTTTTGTTATTTCCCTTAAAAAGAGGGGGAAAGGGCCAGCGCTCTCCTTGGTGAACATGACTTTATAATCCACAGTCTGTGTTATAATCTTATTGATTTCATTTGTGCGAGTGAAGTGTGGTAAAATCTAGCATGATAAAAATATCAAAAAGATCACTAAGAAAATTAAAATTTATAAGGTCTTTTCTATAAACGAAGCAGACTTGTGGTTTAAAAAATGAGTTCATATTTTTTTTATTTTGTACATCATAAAGTTCATTTTTTTATCTGGACTGCGGCAACGTTGCAAATTTAGGGTTTTGGTTGGTAAATACAGTTGTCAAGTTGGTCGCATTGATTAAAACAATTGTTAATTAAGCTAGTTATAAATCTAATTGTGGTTATGTATAAATTATTGTAGGTTACATTGTGCAGTTGTCAAGTTGAGTTGTCGAAATTCGTAGTTAAAAATGCAATTAATTTGGCTTTGGTGGTGCTTGGATGAGTTAAATCATATAAAAAAGTAGCGGATAATAATCTTCGCTTTGAAAAGAATTTATATAAAAGAAATTAAAATGAAAGTGATCTAATATTTATAAAACCAAATTCGTAACTTTTTTACTTCAAAAATGTCCATAAGGCAATGTACTTTTTCTTCCATTGTGGCATTTGGCATAATTTCATCAAAATGAAGTTTTGCCCTCATAAGGGCTTTTACATTCGAATTCGTTATTACTTTTTTTTTATATGTATTAAACAAATTTCTGAATGAAGGCCTTGTATTTTGTAAAAATATAGAGTTTTTGGCTCCAAAAATACAGCATATCAAGATCTACACTTTAAAACAAATCCTGTTAAAATCGCACAATAAATAAAGATTCTACAGGGGTAAGTCGCAAAGAAATGGGTCACACTTTATAACGTACAATTATTAAAAGTCGAAAGTGAGGTTGAAACCGTCTGACAGATTTCGAATTTTATGATTGGTCCGAGATCTAAAAAAGGTTAATAAAAAAACAAAATGCCCATGGGGGACCATATTCAGACCTTCTCCTCTACCTATATAAAAAATTGCTTAAATTTATTTGAAATTTGAATTTTATTTTTACCTGGACAATTTTAAATTTACAATTATGTACTCCCTAAAAATGAAACAGTGGATTTTCACTGATTGACAGTGCATATTAACTATTTGCCGCAGTGATAAGTATACCACTAGCAATTAGTGAATACTCACTTTTTCATGTAGCGATTTCTTTGCACTAATTTATTTAGTGGAAATTACACTGTACAAATTAGTGAAATAGGTTTAGTAGTTATGATAACTAATTTTAAAAAAGTTAAAATTTCACTATTTTATGTTCCGGAAAAGTAGTGATAATAAAAACACTAATTTGGAGAAGTTAAAATTTCACTAATTTATATTGAAAGACACTAATTTTACAGTGAATAATAACTCACTGACGGAAATAGTGAAAATTTCACTGTGTCACTTTTAGAGAGTAAGTTAAAATACTAACAACTAACCTAAATTACCGACTGCGGAATTTTTCAGGGCATCTATTCGAATTTCAAACAATATTAGTTTGATTAACTCCGAAAATCCTGGCTGATTGATTGAAGGTATTTGCACCGCGAACGCATTACGTGGGCGGTTGTTGCAAATAAAATGAGCCAATTATGATAATTACCGGATTACGCATCGAGTTTATTAATGAACAATTAAAACAAACTGGCGCACTCGAAACGCCGAAGAATTCGGCTCCAGTTTGCCGAAAGTTTAATATGTGATGATGATGATGGAACGGAGTCCACTTTCCGGAAAATCGATGCGCCATCATCATCGGAAATATGCCGCGCGGTAATTCAGTCAAAATTTATTTTACATAATGCACGTGTCGTCCACGCATTTCCATACGAGGGACAATACAAGTGTTGTATTTTAATTTGCAGGATGTGTTTTAAAAATCATAAATTGTCGAACGGGGAAAACAAAACTCACGTTCG